GACTTTCTGCCACTGCTCTGGTAGCTTTCAAAGCTCTGGCTGACCTCTGGGTCCTCTGGCCTGGAATTCAGGAACTAGAAACTGTAAATACTGCATTTCCCTCTCCTTTAACATAAAATAAGAGAGAGAGCTGGGCTCTTGTGACTTTCAAATATCCACCGAGTGAAGGTGACAGGTCCTCCCCCTTGTGTGTGTGTGTGGGGGCCCCGCCTCCCGCCCCCAAATCAAATGCAGCTTCAAGAACTGGTCTCAGGGGAGCCAGGTAGACAAGTTTTCTCTTGCATCAGGATTGGCCGCCCCCAGTGGGGCAGATGGAAATAATTTTCAGACTTAAGGCCAGTCATTCGGTCCCCCAGACGTCATCATCTCGGCCATTTCTGTCTAGCCAGATGCCAGATGTAAGTAAGTTGCAGTCAAACCCACAGTCCATGCCAGTGGCACTCCAATGCCCTCTTGGGACTTCTGGATAGTTCCAAGGGATCTAAATGCTCCAGGTCACCTCTGCTTCTAGGCAACCATGCCCATGCTTTGTCTGTCGCTTACAGACCCAGACATAAAGCCCAGCTCTGTTCTCAGTTTCCACCAAAAGCTCACTCCCAAGGGCATTCGTGAGAGTAAAACATTTTACCAAAGAGTTAGAGCTCGTAGAAAGAAATGAGATCATGTCCCATAACACATACATGTAAAATATATTCGCATTCGTACTTTTAAAAGACCAGTCAGCTGGTCTCAAACCTTAAGACAGTGATGGGGAACCTGTGACACCTATGTCACCTCTGACAAGCGAACTCATTTTTTTGGTTGATTTTTCTTTGTTAAATGGCATTTAAATATAGAAAATAAATATCAAAAATATAAGTCTTTGTTTTACTATGGTTGCAAATATCAAAAAATTTCTGTATGTGACACGGCACCAGAGTTAAGTTAGGGTTTTTCAAAATGCTGACACGCAGAGCTCAAAAGGTTTGCCATCACTGCCTTAAGAGCTTGATTCACTTGCGTTTCTCCCCATTCAGTACTTGGCTTTCCACCTTCCCTCCTTCACTCTTCCTTTCTGCCCTGTACCTCTCAGGAATGGAGGTCAAAATCTCAAGTGTCAGTAGGGACTAGAAGGTAACACATAGATGGGTTGAGAAGCTTGGGTGTCAAGCCATAGAGAGGACCCAGCCAGCCTCAAAGCATTCAGGTTCAAACATTTGTAAGCACTGTGTCCTACTCAATATTTCTTTAGACTGCTTGGCCCGAAGGCTGCCCATGAGCAGACCTTCAGCTCTACAGCGTCTCTTTGCCACACAGCCAACCAAGACAGAGCAACAGCGTCACCAAAACGAGAGCTACCGGGACTCTCCCCTCCCACCCCCATGTGTGTCCTGAAGCCTTGCTAAGGTTAGATGGGAGTCAGCATCATTAGCTGATCCTTTAGATGAGTGAGCTAAAGTCAGCCAGGTACCAGGTGAGTTGGAGCTCAGGACAGTCGGGGATCACTGCAGGCTCCACTCATCTGTTGTGTGTTCTTTTTATATTATTTTTGTGGGAAGATATAAATAACACACTTGATATTTTTAATCATTCTTAAGGGTGCAGTTCAGTGGCTTGCACAACCACCACCACTATCCATCTCAAGAACTTTTTCATGATCCCGTATAGAGACTCTATGCCCATTAAGCAGTAAGTCCTCATTCCCTCCTCCCCTGACCTCTGTCAATCACTGTTCTACTTATACTCTCAATGAATCTGGTCACTCTAGGCACCTCATATAAATGGTATCGTACAGTTTTTGTCTTTTCGTGTCTGGCTTTTTTCACCTAGTATATCTTCAAGGTTCATCCACGTCTTAGCATGTGTCAGAATTTCACCCGTTTTGGGGACTGTATAATGTTCCACTGCATGGATATGCCATGTTTTGTTTGCCGGTGGATGGACATTTTGGATTGTCACCTTTTCGCTATTGGGAATAATGCTGCTGTGGACACTGGTGTACAAACATCAGTTCAAGTCCCTGCTTCCACTTCTTTTGTGTATATACCCAGAAGTGAAGCTGCTGGATCAGATGTATAACTTCTTGAGGAACCGTGCCTGTGTATCCTTGAACAGGTCAGGAAACCTCTCTGGATCTCATCTGTGAGACAGGGAGAATCACAGCACTACCTCAGTGGGGTGGACTGGGGATGACTTCATGTAAAGCATTTGGCTCAAAGATGGGGCACATCATAAACCCTTATAGGTGCTTAATCTCACTGTCCTCTGAATCTGAAAATAAACTCATAAGAATTCTCTAAGAAAACAACGAAGGCCCAGCTGGCCTGGCTCAGTGGTTGAGCGTCGACCTATGAACCAAGAGGTCACGGTTCAATTCCCGATCAGGACACATGCCTGGGTTGTGGGTTCAATCCCCAGTGTGGGGCATGCAGGAGGCAGCAAACTAATAATTCTCTCTCATCATTGATGTTTCTATCTCTCTCTCCCTCTCCCTTCCACTCTGAAATCAAATTTAACAATATTTTAAAAAAAGAAAAAACAAAGTACTCAAACCAAATGAACTCTAAAGTCACTCCCAACTCCCAAACTCCATGATCCCACCATTCAATTATTTTCCTGTTGGAGAAGCCAGAAGTTTTCAGAGTATATCTCAGGGAAACTCCCTCTCCACGGTCCCCACAAAAATCCACCCCTGCCAAGGCCCAATTTTCATAGCTCTCTCCTTGGAATCTGCTAACACATCCCATTAGAAACCAACATCTAATTTTTCTTGCCACTCCTTCCCCTGCTTTCTTTCCACATCCCCTCTTTCAGCTCCTTCTCCTGCCCACTGAATAGCTATGTTTCAAATCATCCTCCCTGTTGCCTTTACGCTTCGTCCCCTCCACAAGCTAATGTCTGTTGGAAGCAACGCTCGTGGAGTTATCCATATTAAGGTTTCATTCCCAAGAGTCACATATTTTAAATGAGTTTTTCCTCTTGGGCAGAATCCTGCTGGCAGGGCTGCTGCTATTTGGTGAAGTCAGTGGAGTTGGGTTTCTCCCTCACATGCTATTTATGTTGGGTTATCGCTTGGCCTGATGTTTGGCTTCTCGTCCTCCAACATGTGTCCCATGCCGATGAGCAACCACATCCCCTGAGCCATCCAGTGGATGCTTGCGTTTCATCAAGCACTCATTTTAGAAAAGCAATTAGAGGAGCTACGCTTCCAGGCTTCTCCTGCCGGGGCCAGATTTAGATTCCAGCAGGGAGGGGACTCATTCACTACTTAAAGAAATATTTTCCTTCTCCTCGCCGTCCCTCCGCCTGCCCTCTGAATGTGAGCGCTCACCAGCATAGCTATCCTCGCTAGACACTGAGAAGTTGCCCTGCGGTTAAGCCCGCAGCTCAGCTGCCAGGAATCCACGCACCCTCCCTGAAGCGTTTCCACAGCAGAAAGTAAAAGACATTCTCAGGTCGGGAACAAATGGGTTTTTCAGATCCTGGGCAAGAAAAAAGGTAGCTGAGCTTTGGTGATTTTTTTTTTTTTAAGTTTATGGGTTTGAGATGTCTCACCTGCCACATTAGAGAGAGAGAGAGAGAGAGAGAGAGAGAGAGAGGGGGGGAGAGAGAGAGAGAGAGAGAGAGAAGGGCTGATCGGAGCCCTGGTGCTCCCAGTAGTAACCAGGTTCTGGCCTGGGGGCCACCAAGCCTGGAGGTCAGGCTCTAAAAGGGAGCGGTGGGGCAGGGAGCAGTCTGCATGGGAAGCCGTCACCCTACTGCAGGGCAAGTGTCTGTGTTATCGGCCCCTCGTGCCCCCCTTTTTTCTGCACTACAGTCATTCACTCCAGATGAGAAAAATTCAAATGAAACCCTCTGTACAGCTTGAGAGGAAATCACCAAGATTTCACCAGCGGCTGACAGCCTATGAGGAGGTGGAAAGCATTGACCAAAGTGCAGCTTTTGTCATGAATCTTGACTTTTTGTTTACTCTTGGGACACTTGCCAGCTAATTGCAGCAATGGAGCACCCAGCTTTTGGGTAGAGCCCAGGTGACAGGTAAGCAGCCCAGGTGACAACTAACCAGCACAGAAGGTGACAGGTAACCAGCACAGAAGAGGGGCAGCGAAGCTCACACACTCCCTGCTCCCGTGCAAAGCTGCCCTGTTTTGTCACATCCAACCATTTCCACCTGCCTTACCACAAGAGGTCTCGCCTTACCTCCTGACACCGCACCCCTAGAGCCATCCATGGTAAGGACAGATGCTCCTGAGAAGCCCCCTTTCCCTGCCTGCCAGCGAGCAGTCACAGAACAAGCCTGCCAGTCCCTCGCTTCTGCTCCAGCCTCAGAGGCTCCCAGAAGGTCCGGGTCTGGTTTCAGCCGCACTTGCCCCGGGAGTCCATTGGACGTGGGTTTGTGGCTCCGAAAATGACACATGAAAAAAAAACACACAGAGAAGCCAGAACTCCTTCTAAACAAACACTGTGTGTCCCCAGAAACAACGTGCACTTTTAACCTCAGCCTTTTCCTCCTCCTCACTCTTATCAGGAAGGAAATACGTGTGCCAAGCGAGGAAATCTCCCAGGCGGAGATCTGTCCTGAAGGGATGTGACAGTAACATCTCACCAAGCAAGACACCCACCGGCAGGCACGCCCTTGAGGCACGCCCGGCTCCCGATTCATCTCTCCTTCCCACTCGCCTCAGAGGGGCTCTTTCTAGGAGAAACTTGGCTTTTGTGGGTCTGAGTGGGTAACTCAGGCTGGATAGACTCCTGGAGGTAATTTTATGCTATAAAAAAACTAAGACAAAATAAAACAAATGGATAAAACTGGAGCTGGTACCCCTTCGCGAGGCAGTTTCAGTCCCACAAGTTGGGATGACAAAACCAAGTCACATTCTCGGGAAGGAGGCAGGCGCACCAGCGGAGACCCCACAGCCCACCCTCAGCACCAACTATTGGGGCTCCCCAGGCCCACTCCCTACAGACCCCAGAAAGGAGATGCCTCCCAACTGGGGTGTCCTACCGGCTACTCACAGTACCTCTTGGCAAGGATGAGATGAGCAGAAGCTGCAGGAAAGTGAGCCCCAACTGCGTCCACCAGCCCAGCTCCATCGTTCCTGTGGCCGGTGCCCCGAGTGACTGCGGGGGAGGGACCGAGGG